CACCAAAAAAATGCTACTCAGATGAAGCTTCATTCCAGGAACTCGGGCTAGAAGATGTCTACATCAGGTATCCGCCGCAACCTAGACCCTGAAACAACCTGCCTGGTAGTTTGCAAAACTACGATCCCCCCAGGTTTAGGGTTCAGTGAGTCCAGTAAACTCCCCTTTACAAGGACACCCTCCAAAGCAATTCAGCCCTAATTCTTCGAAGCTCACACTTAGGATTTGTTGGAGAAGATTCAGATTCTGCTTCCAACTGAGACAGACTTCCGTGCACTTCAATAAATCCCCCCCAAAAAGCACAAACGTTCCGGTAACCATGATGGGTTGTTTTAAAAAGAACGTTTGGCTTTGGGGGGGATGGGTCATTATGGGAGGGATTTGACTGGTGGCTCCCTGCCTTTGGATGCAGAGGCTTGCGGAACTTGGCTGCTCAGGGCTTGGGAACTAAACCCTAGACCCCTCAGCCCTCAATCCTGAACCCCNNCCCTAAACCCTCGACCCTCGACCCTGTCGCCATGGCCGTGCGCAAATCAGTGCGACAGGTTAGGTATGCTTCTAGGCGTCGGGCTAGGGACTGCCAACTTGAAGCATCTCAAAATCCTCATGGTTACTTACGCTGATTACCAGAAGAACAGGGATCCCTCACGCGCAAGGGTTGGGCTCCCAATTATTGAAATGCCAGGGGGTGATATAGGTGAGTGTAGACGGACAACCGTGATGATCACTGCCGGGGTCGCGGTAGTCATGATCATATATTTTGCCCGTGGTTATTGCTGTTAAGTATAATTGCTGTGGACGTTGAGTCTACTTCAGCATTTTTGAATGCGACATTACCTCATGAAACCACGAAACTTTCTAGCACTTTGCAAGCTTCTGTATTTGGCTACAGCACTCTATGCCAAGTCCTTCTAGGTCAATGACAACACCTGGTTTGTGTCGCTTTCAGGTCCCCTCAGTAAAACAACATCAGAAGAGGAGGCACCATCCTACAAGTCAACTTGCTGCCCGGAGCAAGGTTGAACATGCACATGAGTTGTGTGAGATGTGTAATGTGAGTGCTTGATAGTGCTTGAGTATCGGAAGGCAACTGACGAGTGCAAGTGCAGTCTTGCGGTCTGCGCCACAGCTCAGGTGCGCAGCCATTGAGGCTGGTTTTGTTTTAGTGTGCACCGGGCCTTCCTGCTGCAGTAGGCATGCTGCGATGGTGCGTTCCCTTCATGGCCTGGCGGGCTGTCGCCTTGACGTCGCCCCCTTTGGGTCCGCCTCTGCCATCCCTGATACACACCAACGGCAGCTGCCCGCAAGGCTTCAAGGCGGGCTTGCCAGGTCATGTTTTTGCATAAGTTCAAGATGATTCAAGATCTGTGTGTGCTTGGCGATTGGCATCCCGGGGAGGCGTGTGGGCACTGCCACTGTGTGCCGGCAGCACATTGTGACGCTTGTCAAGGCGCAAATTCTTCAGTATACTTGCCTACTGCGGACCCGGCAGAGTGTGCGGATAGGCCCGAAGCTTCGCCGCGGGAATGCGACGGTGCGCCGCAGCAAGATGGAAGGCTGTCCGCCTGACAACGTGGACTGTGGCAACTACACCTGTGTGCCCCATACCATGCGCCTCGGCTGGTGGGTCTTGCGACAAAGATGCGTGCAATTAGCAAATCATGCTTCCTCATGTTGAGGGCCTTCCATCAACGTTCAATCCAATGCAGCTGCCTTCGGTGGAAAAGATAAGTGAGCAGCGCTTGAACACACTTTCCCGGACACCTGCTAGCTTAGGTGCGCGCAGAAAGATCTACTTCAGGCGCCGGCTGGCACCTGTCATTCCCAACCCTCTGTCTGAATGCCTTAATTGCATTTGGCCGCTGACTCATAACGGCAATAATAGTAATAATATGAATAATCCCAATTTGTTAAGAAGAAAATTCATCAGTAATATTGATACAAGTACTATTGTTCATAATAGTAAAAATAATATGAATACTTATACTATAATTTTTTGTTGCTATTATTGTCAATATCATCATCATTATCATTATTATTCATTAGATAGTAGTTTCCATGTTGCAGGTAGACGGAATCCCGAGAAGATCCAGGGTCACGGGCTGCCCGGAAGACTTCACAGACTGTGGCGTTTGCGCATGCGTGCCGGGGAATGTCTGTGGTCATTGCCCAAAGATCATTGCCTTCTCCTTGAGCAACAACAGCACCGGTTCCTTGGTTGCTGTTACGGAACTTAATCTA